TGGCAAGTTGATTATCATTCTGCCCATTCCACAGTTGAGAAAACTGAGGCCCAGTAAGCTGCAGTACTTTGCTAGAAATCAATACCTGACCTGATATGTTATCCAAGTGTACTAGCAGAGTAGTCTTTAATCTTCGAGAGCCAAGGCACTATTTTAGAAATTCTGGCAATGTAGTAAAAGTTGATGCAATGTGATCTTGGCATATGAGACTCCTCAGGATGTCGCCTTTTTATCTTTTGATAGACTTTTAAATAAAGGCTGGTTTGCCATGAATTCAGATCCTCCCTTAGAGATTATTCAATTGGATAGCTTTTATTTTCAAAGAGAAACCAGGCTCAAATCATCACCAGTGTATCTGTGGTAGCTTCACAAAGAATGTGCTGAGAATAGAAGTAGACCAGACTTCTACTGCAGCACTTTATCTTCGCTAGGAAAATGCCAAGGTAATGTTTTCCTATCTGGGCTGCTCTGTTTTCTCTAGTCCTGAGCTTTCAGGAGTCTGACCCATTCACTTGGTTTTCCATGAAGACAATGACTCAAAAATATACAGAATTTTAGAGCTGCAGGGGTCCTCAGAAGTCCTCAAGTAGCAACGACAGCAATAGTGACGGTGATGACTAACATTTATTTTGCACTTAACAAATGCCCGGTACTAGATTTCTGTGTTCATGTGCATATTCTTTAGTCCCCGTTATGACCCTATGAGGTAGCATTATTATTATTTCCACTTGACAGAGGCAGAAAGAAGGCCAGGACATGAGCCCTGAGATGTTAAGCAATTTCCCAGAGTTCACGCAGCTAATTAATGACAGACCAGGACTAGAAGTTTAATGTTCTTTCTAGTGTTTCTTAAGCTGCAAACTGTGAACATTTTCTTCAGAGTCCAAATGGTCTGTGAGAATATGTTTAATTCTGTGTTTTTATTTTTATGTTTTATACTTATAACCTTAACACAAAAATCTTTGCAATGGAAAATTCATAATTAGAAGGCATTTTCATATGATAAGTTAGTGTTTCTCAGACTGGAGTTTGAGAGCCCTATGGCTTCATGAAGGTGGTCCTCAAGATCATGACATTTTCCCTTTGAAAAGGGTTTGTACATGTCGTGGGTTTGGGAAAGTTTTTCTGTACCATGACACCTCCACTCACATGCTTAGAATGGAGAGAGACTACATATGATGGTGGCAATTATTATACTTCTACTCTCTCTCTCTAAACTATTGAAGTTGTTAGCTCTATCCTTTCCCTGGAAAGCATCATCACTCATCTGAAGCATGGTCAAATCTGAGGTCAAAAGTCTCAGGGAAAGAGCACAGTCCTTGGAGTGGGAAGGACGGGAGGGGCTGTGGCAGCACTCCGTTTTCTGAATGCACCCTGCCCTTTGACCTCTCAGTGACTGCTCTCCCTGATCCTTTAGCACCTCCTCATTTCCTCCTTTCCCAGAGCCCTTCAAATTTCTATCTGGTCAATTAAAATAAACTTAAAAAATTTTTTTCATCTGCCTTTCAAAACTTAATTTAAATGCCACTCCCTCCATGAAGCTTTTTCTAATTCCAGCTGGAATCGGTCTCCTCTACCCTCATATGATTTGTTCTCTGTTATAACACTGGCTCCAATCTGCCTTTCATTATAGTTCTTATAGGTATTTTCACATGTATGTTTCTCACACCAGCTGTGAGTTCCTTCATGGTAGGGATGTGCCAAACTCTTGTGTCATACATGGCAGGCATTAATAGGTGTTCGCTGGAGGTTTAATAAATGAATTAAAGGAATGAATGAGTAGAACCAGAATCCACTGCTGTCTCACCTGAGGCTCACCTACGCTTGCAGGCCTCATCTCATCCAACAGATGCCCTGTCCGTGATAAGAAACACACTATATTAGCACTGATTTTATTGTTTAATAAAAAGAATAATTGTTGAAAATTATAACAGTCACCCTATAATTTTCCCATGGGGAAAGGTTCTATTAATAAAAAATAAAAGATACCCTTTCTACTTGCCCCCCAAGTTACCTTATTCCAAAATTGCTCAAGGTTGTCCCAGATAAATATTTTTATTATCTTCTTTTTCCACAAGGATTTGGAGCCACCTGCAAGATAAATGTATGGTAAAATAGCAATATAATTGGCCCCCAGAAAGTATAAATTAGAATCAAAGGTCTAGCCTGTGCCAGGGAAGGTTCAAATGCAAGTAAGCAAACCACATGATAGCTCCATGAAATCGGTTCTGAGTTCCCAGGCAGCCAAGGCAATATAGAAGCATTCCCAGTCAGTTCTCATATACAGAGAGAGCAAAATCTGTTCTTCAGGGGCTGCGAAGCACTTGTTTTTCAAATATAGGACTTGAATCCTATATATCCTTTCCATGGTGTATATAATATGTACTTCTTATCTTTAAAGTAGAATTCCCAAATAAGCCTGTGTTTGGGATAGAGACTAGTGGAGAAAAAAGCAAAATGAAAGGCTCTTGAATGAAATGTGATGTCAGTGAGGAAACCAATTATAACCAGAAACAAAGGAACGGAGAATGGGCTATTCCTCGAGGAAGACTAACTCCTGTAGCAACCCCATATTCCCAGTGGCTTGACACAGGGAAGATTTATTTTTGCTCGTGTCACAGTCCAAGGCCATTGAGTATGTGGTCATTCAGACACACACATTCCTTCCACCCAGTGGCTCCACCATCCCCTAAGGGCAGGACTTCACAGATTCTAATGTGCTTATGAATCTCCTGGGGATCTCTGGGGATTGTGTTGACATGAAGGCTCAGATTCAGTAAGTTGGGGTGGGGTGGGGGGAGTGTCAGCATCTGTATCTCTAGCAAGCTCCTAGGTGATGCCAATGCTGCTAGTCCGGGAGTCACATTTGGAGTAAGGAGACATTTGAGCTTTGGAATCCTTTGCTGGATCTCTACGTCCAGCTGGAGAGGGAGGGGGAGAGAGCATGGACAGAGGACTGTACCAGAGGTATTTAGGGGCCAGGCCTGAATGTGATGTACATCCACCCACTTCCCATTGGCCAGAACTCAGTCACATGACCCCATGTACCTGCAAGGGAGGCTGGGAAACGTAGCCTCTGTGTGCACAGGAGGGGACAGAGCAGGAGTCTGGTCCCCTCAGCATTGCCTGCCTCACCAGCCAAGCCTTCCAGAGGTCGCTGAGATGCCCCCTCTCAGAAAGTACAGGTGACTTCTACACATAATGCTAACATGCCCCCCATGGCGGGTTGGCCATGTCTACACTCCCTTCTCTTTTAGAAGATCCCATTTTGTAGACAAAGAAGTTTGCCCCCATTCCCCAGTTTTACCTTCAGCCAAAAGCCACATAGCCACCTTCTAACAGAATGCCTTAACTTTGTCAACTGTGATCCCTTATGGCATCATTTATTTATAGGTGAGAGACTGCTCTATGGGGCTGAGTCCTTTTTGCAGAGCCTTTTTTCCCTTTGCTGTTTCAATTATGTGTGGATTAAGCTCTGCTTTCCCTCTGGCTGTGACAGCAAGGCTCCTGAAGCCATCACTCCGAGGTAAAACAGATGATCATGTAGACAGGCTGGGTGAAAAGTATTTAATTTCCTGGCCATCTATGGCTCTTTTCTTAGAATGAGAAATCATCCTCTGGATTTCAAGTTTCCACCGTTGATATCTTTCAGAGTGGTAATGGTAAGAGTCCCCCATAAAACTGCCTTTGGGATTCTTTTCTGCTTGTCCCGTGAATGTGCTTTGTATTTATCTTGATTGGAATTGGCATTCAGGGAGTCAGGTAGAGAATTGGTTTGTGAGAATTATGGATACAAATGACATCAACAACCTGAAGCCATCCAACTCCAGTAAGCATTGAGCCTTCAGTGGCCACTTTGAAAGACTGAAATGAGGCTGCCCAGCTCCCTGTTGGCGCAGCCTGCCACATCGCTGCTGTTATTTATCGACTGCTGTTTGCACATTCTGCCCTATGGGGGAGGAAGGGAGGAGCAGTGCATGGGTCAGCACAGTTTGCTCTGCCGTGATAGGAACACAAAATATGGAAGAAAAAGGATGTAGCACAATGAGACAGGGCAGGAAGAGGCCAGTGTGCAGGAGGAGGAGGCGAGGGACTGTTCCCACTTCCAGGCAGCTGGAAAACGAGGAGCAGAAGTGGCGTGGTGACAGGTGGTTTAGATTCATGGGCCACCTGGGACCTTGCAATTCTCCTTCTAGATGGAGGAGGAGAGCAGGTAAAACAGGTTGCATACTGATTTCCAAGAGTTTAAGGGCATCTTAATCAGTTTT